CTAATATCACTTGGGGATTAGCTAAGTAAAAAATATAAATGAACTTGAATATTTAGAAAACACTACAAGCTCAAACCTAATTGAAGGGTAGGAGTATGAAATCCCTTTAACTCTGCAAATACTCCTAAAGGAGTTTATCCACATAACTCTATGTTAAACATTGAAGTCCATCATTTGTCCTCACTCGTGGGACAATTAAGACATAAAACACTTAACACACCTTAAAATATAATAATTCAACATAGGATAATTAATTTAATAACATTGTAGGACTAAAAGGAACTTGAGATAATCCAAGAGATTCTAAGGTTGTTCAGAGTCATTCTCCGAACACCCTTACAAGATCCTGAATATCTTATAGGTCACTTGGACTTACTTCAATATGTTGAATAGAAATCATCCTTAAACATAAGGATACACCAAGATGTAATTTAGAACCCTTCCAATTAATTAAATTATCAATGAAAATTCCCTGTCACAACATAACCTACAGTTAAACCCAATGCTCCGGGATACGAGCCTAGTCTTTACACTCAGATCCTCCTAACAATTGGGGATATTTGAAATGTCACATATGGATCATCAGGCTAGTATAAGTTGGATGATATTGGTGGTAAGGGTGATGATGACAACTCCTTTGTGTGCTAAGAGTGAGATATTTGAATAGTATCTCCTACCCCAATGACCTTTGGGGAGAGGATATGACCGATGATATTATTCCCTAAGTTTTGGTAAGAAGCTGCCCCTGGCTTTCTTAGGTTGCCGGTAGTTTTAGTCCGATCAGAGTGATTAACATTTTTCATAAAGAGCTCTGTTCATTCGTGTTTGGTTCGTTTACACCCCTAGTTGTTGATAGTATTGATCATTTTTCTAATAAAAACATGGTAATAAGCTGAATTTCTATCACCATCAACAAACTGATGCCCCACTCTTTTAATAAAAACATGGTAATAAGTTGAATTTCTATCACCATCAACAAACTGATGCCCCACAACTTTCTGCCTATAGAAAAAATCTTCCATATTAATAGTTGTAGTTAAAAATTTTTGACCTGCCAAATAAGCATGAAGGTCAATTAAATCATTACTAAACTCTTCCTTTAGTTTCTTCATATGCTCTTCAGCTGACAGAACCAATGTGTGGAGATTACCAAAAAGGTGTTCCAATTCTATTTCTTCAACGTGGTAGCCATTGTCTTATGCAAATCTCAAAGTCTCTCACCCATATTACCATATATATTCTTAACCCAATTGTCTTTAACAAACTGCAAAACCAAGCTATGTAGAGTCCACATATTTAATAATCTAAATTGATGAACTTAAGGTTTAGTAATCAGTTTAATAGTTAGGAGAATAAGAGCATGATTAGAGCACACAATAGGAAGATGAATCATAGATGTAGCAGGAAAATATTCCATCCAATGATCATTAGCAACATATTTATCCAACCTCTCAAAAAATTTACCACGATACAGAGTAAAAGGATTGCCAGTAAAACCAAGATCAAAAAGACCAGCCTCCATCAACACATCAACAAAATCAGTAATAAGCTTTTGTTTGGGATATTTGCCTTCTTTTTTTCTCATATACTAAGAGGATAGCATTGAAATCATCCCCTATAATCCAAGGCACAACACAAAAAGTTTTAAGTGCAGTAAGATTGTTTCATAATTCCAGCCGAGAAGCTCTAGAACAACCCGCATAAATAATGGTAGCAAGAAAGGAATAATTATCAAAACCAATCCTCAAGTGAATAAACTGAGTATGATTAATAATAACCTCCATATTGATAGAAAAATTTCAGAAAAACCATATTGTATTATTCGCATTAACAAAAGAATCAAATCTTTTGAAATTATTCATGTATATGTAATTATTTTGAAAAGCAATCATGGGTTCCAAAATATCAAAGAAAGGTAAATTGTGAGATTTAATAATACTTTTGAGCCTATTAGAAGCATTAATATCTGCAATGCCTCTAATATTCCAAACCAACAACATATACATCAAAGATAAGTTTCTCTCTCTAGTCAACCTAGATGGGAATGTAAGTTGATTTTCTTTTCCTCTCCACACCCCACAACTATGGATTAATGTGGCTTCAGGATTAACATATCTTAATTCCCAAATGACTTTTAGTTTTTTTTTTCTTATATTTGATAGTAAGCCAATCCCTTTTCTAAATCAGCTTTAACTTGATTTAGCTTATCAACCAACTCCTCATTCCTTATATTTCACTATCCAAATTAGTTCCCTCAACACTCATGTGTTGAAAAATTTTATAAACATTATTATTAATTTCATCTAGCAAAACAGGATGTAAATGTTCCCTGAAAACAACAACATCATTATCTAAATTCCTCCTAGCCTCCAAACAACTTGAATAATAGAGACCTTAATTTGAGGCTCAATAGCATTCTCCACATGATTTTGTACAATATTTTTAGGGCATTCATGTAAAGCAAAAGAGTTTTTCTCATTTTGAATGTCAACCATAATCTCATCGTGTTTCCTCTCATTTAAGATAGGAGATTTTGAGATTCTATCTTTCTTTAATTCAGAATGAAAAATATAACAGGTAGATTGCAAATGCCCAAACATTTTGCACTTGGTACAATAATGTGGAACAAATTCCACTCGGCATTTTGTCAATAAACATTATTAGAGTTCCCAATTCAAATAACCTCATGAAATATCGTAGCAACTTCTCTATCAAACTGTGCTCTAGCCGTTGAGGGCCTATAGCAATTAAGAGTAGCAATTTCCACTTTCAAAAGAGTACAAAAAATAGAACCCAAAGAATATACAACCTTCAAATTAAGAAGATGTTTCAAACCAGGAAACCTTATCCAAACTGGCACAATTGGAGGATCCTCCCTAGGATTAAAATCAGGTGTCCATTTTAAAGTCTTCATGTAAGATTTCTCAATTAACAAAATCTTTCCAGAGAAAATAATGGTATAATCTTCTTCTTTATCTAGCTTGATCATCAAATTTCTCCCAATTAATAAACCTATGTTCCAATTACTATATAATTTCAACTCCACAAAGAATTTTCTGATAACCTCCATTTTTGGATGAGTAAAACCAAATTTGCCCACCATAGTGAATCTTAGAGGTTCCACATAGTTTACCATTTTTTTTCTAGTCGCCTTCTTAAGTAGGCTAGTCGAAGAGGAATCAACTAATTGCTCTTTAAAACTAGAAGGAAAAAAGAATATTCACAGAGTCCTTCTCTTACTTTACTGTAAATGTCTTGTTTATGCATGCTACATTGCTTTTCTTATGCTATTCATTTGGAAAAGACCCCAGAATAGATGACGTAGAACATTTGCTTAGATGGAAACCCTACAATATAACTTATTGACTCATCAATAACAATAATCATTATATTTCTTTCTAGTTTTCTTCTATCCATTTTTCCTTTTGGATGTCTTATAAATTTCATTGCCTTTCTATTTTTCCTTTAGTAGGTTGTTCATTGTTGCTACTTAGGACTTTTTGTTGCTGGTTGTGTTAGATTTTGGATTATTAACACACACACAGATATATATATATATATATATATATATATATAT